TTGGGATCTTTGGAACATGTGATCATTCTCTTTCCAGCTCTTAAAATTGAATCACATCCTTCCGCCAATTCCATCCTGTGACTGATCCTGCTGATGTATTAATTAAGAGCCTTATAAAAGTGGAGGTCTTGAGCCTCCATCTGAATGAATTTCCAGGTCTTGAAGGTTTTTTCAATGAGGCAATAATTTCTAACTTGGACCTTCCTGAGGTCCTTCCTGCACTATCTATACAATTTTCTGATTCCCTTGCATTTTCTTCCTTCTCCACTCCATTTTCCGCCACAGTGCTAGGAACGTAAGTGCTCAACAAGTGATTTATTGTTCAGGTGACCATGAAGAAGCTGAGAAAGGTGTACATCTCAGTCCTCTGAACAGAGAGCTCTAATATTTCTGGTTGTTAAAATGGTCTCATATAGCCTTTGGGGACCTTATAAAATACAGAAATATGCCATTTTAGGTTTATCTGTGCCTGTCAATATATCTTTCTTTAAAAGTGTGACCAGTAATATTGTATAGCAATAAGTTACAAAAGTAGGACGGTGGAAAGGCAATGACTGAAGAGGCAGCCAGGAAATGGAAAAATGGTTGAATTGGTATGCTGAAATTGAGGCTGCCTAAGGATCAGTGTCCCGAGCTGAGTGGTGGTGAATTGTGCAGCCTCACAACCCCAGGGCAACGGAGGGGGAGGGGAAGGGCCGAGCCACACCACAACCCACAGTGCAACCCCAGACAAATGAGCAAAGGCCCTCATTGGCTGAGCCTAAGTGAAGCAACATATGTTGGACTCCTCTAGTCATGGAGAATGTGTTAGGCTGGGCGTGATCTTCCAAATACGCTCCCCCATCTGCCGTGCTGCAATGAGTGTTGTGGGAGGAGGATGGAAGCCGTGAGCTTGCAAGTGTTGTAACAGCCAGCTCCTCTCCCTTTTCTCCTCATCACTCCCTTAGAGAGACATGGCTGCAGCCCAGCAGCTTACTGTGTCTCATAGGCTGTTTAGCAGAAGGTTATGGGTGGAACAAACCTGATCTATTACTTCGCAGCCCTACTTCTTCCTAAAACCACCTCGTAACTAGCCTTTTCCTGAGACAGACCAGTCTCTCACGTGTAATTTATGCACAGAGTCCTCGCCAGTTTACAATTGTCTTTCTGTGTTATTTACCTATATTTGTGTCAAACGCCCATCTACATTAGTATCTTAGATTGTAAGCTCTTGAAGGGCAAGGACCAGGACTGTGTGACTTGCCTTTTTTTTTTTTGACACCCAGGACAGTACTATAATCATTGAATGCTTAAAATAAATGCTTTTGACCATGGTGGTGAAATTTACCTTAAAAAAAGTTTGATTGATATTTTCTGTTTTTTATGCCATAGACATTTTTTGATTCCATAGCTTGGATCCTCCAACCTTAGAACCCTGCCTAGCCACAGAGAGAAATCTTGTTGCTGTTCAGTTATGTCCATGACCCCATTTGGAGTTTTCTTGATAAAGATACTAGAGCAGTTTGCCATTTCCTTCCCCAGCTCATTTTACAGATGAGGAAATTGAGGCAAACAGGATTAAGTGATTTGCCCCTGGATCATGTATTAGTAAGTGTCTAAGGTCAGATTTGAACTCAGAAAGAAGAATGTTCCTGACTCCAGGCCTGGCATTCTATCCACTGTGCCACCTAGCTTCCCCACAAAAATAATTAAGTGCATACATCCAAGACAGCCACAGTTTCATGTATGGTGACTTTAGTCCCCTTGGTCCCCCACCTCTTTCAAGAGGAGGGAGGTGTGTTTCATGAGCTGTCCTCAAACTGATTTTGACCATTGGATTTAACCGAATTCACTTACCTTTCAGTATTGTTTTCATTTGCATCATTGTAGTGATTGTGTTCTGCATTGTTTTGGTTCTGATTTCTTCAATCTTACCAGTTCGTATACATCTCATATTTTTCTGAAGCTTTTTTTTTTTAGTACGAAAATGTCTCGTATTCATATGCCATGATTTGTTCATCCATTTCCCAATCATTGGCTGCCTGCTTGCTGTGTTGCTACCATAAAAAGTTCTACTATGAATATTTTTGGTGTATATGGGACCTTCCAGCTCAGTGGCAAGTTGGACAGAGCCTGGGACCCAGAATCAGGATGGCTTGGGTTCAGATCTGGCCTCAGACACTTGCTAGATGTGTTACCCTGGGCAAGTCACTTAACCTCTATTTGCCTCAGTTTCCTCATCTGTAAAATGAGGATAATAATAGTCTTTAACTTCCAGAGTTGTTGTGAGCATCAAATGAGATATTTGTGAAGTACTTTGCAAACCTTAAAGCACTATATAAGTGCTAGCTATTATTAGCTATTAAGTTTTTTGAGGGTAACTTTTTTTTCACTTGACACTTGCCTTATAGGATTTGAGATCATAACTGAGTATGAATGGTGCAAAAGTCTTTTTCTCAAGAAGAGGGTAAAGAGAGGGTTAGGATAGCAAGTCTGTAAAGGGAATGAAGGGTTTAAGTCTCCCTAGTGGACTAGGGGGTTCAGGTCATGTGACATAGTTTCCTAACCCTTTAAAGGGATGAAGTTGACCTGGGATATTCCTCAAACAGATGACTTCTGCTTCTAAGATCTTCCATACTAAAGAAAGGAAAGGGTCTCAAAGGAGATACTTCATCATTGAAATTGCATTGAAAAACTAGAAAGCCAGATCCTACCTTTTGGTTCCTGGGTTCCTGACTGATCAACAAGATCCCTCGGTTCTGTAAGGAAGAGGGAACGTAGGACTAGGTTCATGTGGTCATGAGATACCAGTTGCTAACTGGGCCCCAGTAGTCTCTCCTTTCCCCAGCCCCTCCTTGACAGAACAGATTGCCTCTGTCAAACCACATCTTGACTATTGCCTTCACTTCTGATACTGTATTTTAGAAAGGATTTTGATGAGTTGGAGCATAGCTAGAAGAAGGCAGCCAGGATGCTGGTGATACATGGAAGCATACTATATGATGACAAATTGAAGGAACTGGGAATACCTGACCTACAGAAAAGAAGGTATAGGTAGAACATGACTGCTGCTTTCAAATACCTGAAGGGCCATCACTGGATGTGGTGTGTGTGTGTGTGTGTGTGTGTGTGTGTGTATATCTATACTGTTTGGTCCCAGAATGGGGAACTAGGGCCCTTTGGTGGGATCTAGAGGGAGACAGTTTTGGCTTTATATAAGGAAGAACTTTTTAATAGAGTCATCCCAAAGTGAAGTGGAAGTATGGGATTGCTATCACTGGAGGCCTTCAGGTGGATACTGTAGGAATGGTATAGGGTGTCTGGAGTTAGAGGCCTCAGTTGTAAGTCCTTGGCCACCTTTCTGGGTTTTGATTTCTTTATCTGTAAAATGAGGAGTTGTACTGCATAAGTTTAAAGTCTTCCAGCTCTGATCTATGATCCTATGATAAGGGAAATTAGAGAGGAGATTACTACTTCAGATTAGGATTCAATTAGGTAGTGTCCTAAATTCATGCCAACTCATTCTATGATTCTAAGAGAAGTCCCTCAGCTTGGACTCATGACACTGACCTCAAAATTTGGAAGAAAGCTAGAAAAACAGAGGTATCAAGGCTCCAGGATCATCCTCCTGGTGACTCATTTTGAGCCTTTTTCCTTGCTATGAAGAACTCAGAGGATGTCCATGGCTTATCTGGGGTCAGTATAGAAGTCACCACTAGATACAGGATGGTAATGGCTATTTGCTTTGGCATATTGGTGGTTAAAGACCTGAAGTAGACTCCAATAATATCTCACACAGAAAAGAAAGATAGTGGGGAAGTGGAAGCTACAGGTGGAGAAAGATTTCAGCATGCAATGATCCTCTTTACCAGATACAGGACGATAGTTGTGATGTCAGTTCAGTTTAGTGTTTTTAAAATGTTGACTGTATGCTAGGCCCTCCACTAAAGTCCTACCCCCATTCCTTATCATGTCATGGAGACAACCCTGGGTTTTCAAAGCCAAATGGAGTATAAGCTCCAGTAGATCCTACCAAGAATGTTTTTGGAGTAGGGAGCAGACAATGTGCTATATGTCTGAAGACCAGCTATCTAAATTTGAAGAGGCTCATTGCCCAGTTGACAATATAGTAATTAATATTTCAGCTACAACAGCTCTCAAAGATCATCCACTAAGTCTTAGAGGGGTTGAAATCTGCCACTGTAAAATAAATAACTCACTCACATTGACAAAATAAAAAATCCTTGAAATATATATGGGATAGGTACTGGTCATTGACTCTGCTATGGCCAGGCTCACTATGTGGGTGACTAAAGTGCTGAAATAGAATGAGATTTATAGAGCTGAAAGATTTATAGAGCTTAGGGGTCATCTAATCCATTTAACCCCTTTATTTTACGGATGAGGAAACGTCCACAGAGGTGAATGGCGTATGGATTTGAACTTAGGTTCTCTCACACCAAATCCAATACTCTTACCACTACCTGATGGTTTCAATTTAATTCCTCCTTTACTAATCACCTTGGTCTCTTCTAGCATGTAGGTTCATACTCATTCTTTCTTCTCCTTGAGTCAAAGTCACAATCTCAAGGGCAAAGTGCTTAAGTGCACTGTTGCCTAGAGCAGTGGTGTCAAACTCAAATATAGTTATCCCTTCCACATTGTGACTTTCTCCATTGAGGTTTCAATATATCACGGAAATTAAATGGGAATTTTTTGAGAGTTTTGTGGAAGTCACAGATGACACATGAAAACCAGCAGACAGCACAGAAAAAGTTTAGAGACTCAAGAATGCATAAAATATATGTATAGTGTTATATAATATCAACATATTTTGTCCTTTAATACCATAATAATTAAAACTTCTTCTCTGGTACGAAGTGATGGCCAAAAAATTTTACACAGATTTTCCAGATCACTGGGGCATCCCTCCCCTAAAACCTACAATGGGGAAGGGATAACTGTAGAAACAAGGACACTAAACTATACATAAAGATCAGTGTGGGTTCATACTGACTTTAAAAACCACATGCTAATGTTATTTATGTTTTGTTGTATTTTATTTTATTGAATATTTCCCAATTACATTTAAATCTGTTTGAATAGCATTCAGAATGTTGGTCATCTTTCTTGATTCTTCTGCCCTAGAGGCAGGAAAGGTGAGAGGTTTATGTGAGCAGATCTTTGCCCCACCCCCCACCCCACTGTTGTCCTGGTTGGACTCCTAGAAACACCAGCAACTTCATTTATTCTTTGTATTTTCTCTGTAACCTCAATAATAAATAATAAATCCTTTGGATCTTGAAATATCCGTAGGACAAGGTTGATATATTTTTTGATGAAGGTCCATGTGGTGATGAGTAGAGGCACTTTTCTGGGAAAGTTCTTGAAGATCTAGAAAGGACAGGAATATAACATGGATTGTTAGCACTGGAAGACATTAGGTCATCTGGGCTGAAGGGCTCATTTTATGTATGAGGACATTATGTCCCACAGAGGGGAAGTAACTTGCTTGCTGAAAATGTCAACATTTGTACTTTTTGTGTATGGAAGAGAAAAATCTGTTAATTTTCCATATTGACATCTGTGGGAATTTTTCCAACTTAAAAACTCCAAAACTTGCTTTCATAGGTTGGTCATAGATTGTCCTTTTGTACACTATAGGAAAAAAAATTAGGCTATTCCATGAGAAGAAAGCCCCAAGCATTTAAAACATGCTCCTGACTGAGGCTTAAGGTATGACTTTTCAAGAGGGTTGGTGAAGTTAGAAAAGCCATCCCCAGGCCCTTATTTCTAACCCGTTCAGATTCCTTTCAGTTTCCTATTCTATGAATGAGGAGGTTGGACTGGATGAATCATAAAGTCCCTTACAGCTGTAAACCCTATGATTTTTGCATGAATGCACTGAGGCCCTTTATCTAGTCAGCTGTCAAGCTTCAGATGACTCAACAGTATGATATGGCAGATAACTGGAACATAAGCTTTATTGAGTTGGTAGCCCATAGCAGTGCGTAGAAAGTTGGCTTCTGAATCAGGAAGATCTGGGTTGACATCCTGTCCTTGTCGCATTCTGGTTGTGTGACCCTGAGCAAATAACTTCTCAGTGCTCCACAGTAACTCTCCAGGATTATAAGTTGCACAGCAGCTACTGATCTCCTTTTCTGAAGGGAGTTTTCTCACTTAGTTTCCTATGCCAATAAAATCATCCTCCCCCCAAAAAAGACATAGCATTCTAGATGCTGATAGGTGATAGTTGCTCTGTACTCTGCCTCAGTTTTATATGATGGAAGGGACTTGAAGGACCATTGAATTCAACCCCTTCATTTATAAATGAAGAAAATAAACCACAGAGAAATTCAATGACTTGCTCAGGGTCACTCAACTATTAAGTATCTGAGGTGGGATTTGAACTGAGATCCTCCTGACTACGAGTCCAATGCCCTATCCATTAGAACATAGGACATGAATAACCTGGAGTACGTTCAGAGTAGGATAAACATGGTGATAAGGAGACTAGAAGACGTACCATGAGATGATCAGTTGACCTGAAGATGAGAAGGCTGTCTTTAAGTCTTTGAAGGGTTACCATTTGGAACACAGATTAGATATGTTCTTTTTGGCCCAAATGGGCAGAATGAGGGCAATGTCTGGAAACTGCAGAGAGGCAGATTCCAGTTGGATGTAAAAGAAAACTTTGTAACAACTGGGGCTTTGAGTAAAACAGGCTGCCTCTTGGTGGGCTCTCTCTCATTAGAGGTTTTCAAACGCAAGTTTGGAGGATGTTGTAGAGGAGTCCTATATGAATACCCACTGGTAAATGAGTCAGCCTCTCTGGGGGACCCTTTTGACTCTGTGGTATCTGTATCAGTACTGTTGATAATATTACCCCTGTACCCGTCTTAACAATAGCCAGCTCCTGAGTGATTTGCTTTTTTTCCTACAAGGAAAGTCTAGTTTGAAGTGTTTGTCATGATTGGAAAGTTATTCTGAGTACCAACAAACTGAAGAGTATCATGTGGTAGTGCTGTAATGATCAGGTACGTTTAGCTTTGTGTTCAGCGGCGTATGCGATCACAGAATCTTAGCACTGGAAGGGACCTAAACTATCATTTAAACCAACTCCTCCCTCAGTGATAATCGTTTTTTCACAATCTATTGAAGGTGGCTGTTCAACCTCTCAATGAACATGTCAGTGGGCCATAGTAGAAAGGTCACAAGAGGAGTCAGGAGATGGGAGGTACCTAGCCCAACCCCATCATTTTTACAGATAAGGGCCTGAGGCCCAGAGAGGTTGTGACTTACCTAAGGTCTCACAGGTGGTAAATGGCAAAACCAGGCTTTGAATGGAAGTTTTCTGAATTCAAATTTCTTCCGTACCATCCCATAGACCTGGGTTTTTGTCTTCACTTTATTGCTAACTTGCTGTGTGTCTCTCGCCGTCACTTCATCTCTGTGGGCCTGTTTTTTTCTTCTGTGAAGTGAGGGAATTGGACTGGGTGATACTCTAGTTTCCTTCCAGGTCAGTAGTTCTGGAAACTTAGTGATGAGACACTTCCTGCTTACCAAGGAAGCACATTCCATTTTAGGACATCTTAGGATATAAACTGCTGCCTTATAGTAAGTTGGAATTTAGCTCTCGGTGATTCCCCCAACCTGCAATGATCTTATCTCTATATGAAGTATGGACGTGCCCATGGATGCCTCACTAGTTGAGTTTCTGAGATTGGGGTGACTGAGGGAGATAGACTCTTGTCAGAATAGCTCCCTTTCTCTCTAGTCCATAAAAGAGCTACCACAAAGAACTGGAAACAAAGCAGGTACCTGTCAGTTGGATAAAGGTTATTTAAATTTGTGGTACATTGTTGTAATGGGATATCACAGAACCATAATAAGAAATGATGAATAGGAAAAATTCAGAAAAATGTGAGAAGACTTATATGAACTGATGCAGTGAAGAAAGCAGGACCAGGAAAACAATATATAGTAACTAACAACAATGTGAATGGAAAGAACAAGAAAACAAAGTTGTGTAATTATAATGACTTAGCTTTGTCACCCAGAAGAGCTGAGAAAGTACACCTCTACCCGTTGCAGAGGTGGAAGACTAGGGTAGAGGATATTGCATATATTGTCAACCACAGTTGATGTGCTGGTTAATTTTTTTAAGCTGTTTTTTTCTTTCTTTAAAAATTAAAAAAATAAGTATAAGTCCTTATAGACTAAGGATTCTCATCCCAATTCACATTCACAATGATGAGTCGGGTCTCCAAGAGCAAAGCAACATTTCCTCTTCAGAGTTCTAAGAGTATCCCTAAAGGACTGGGGACGTGTCTCTAATATTATCAGCTAAGGCCCCTGTTCCAGTATATTCTCCCCATTGTTAGTCACCAGTGTTTAGCTCCCCAATTTTGTTTAACTAATTAGCACCAATTAGTTCTTAAAAAGGGATATTTCCTGAGAAGACATAACAAGAACAGAAGTTATAAACATTTCCCCCCAACTCCTGGGGCACACTCTCTCTTTATACCATCTTCCATCTATGGAGAGCGGATTCAGACAACTCAGTTACTACAAATATTCATCCCACCAAGGTCATTTCCAAATTTAGCATAGCTGGAGGATGAATCACTGGAGTTGCTTCTTGTTTACCTTTGATTTATGCTGGGTCAAGCAGGTCACTTGGAACTTTGCTCTTCATTGTCTAACTTTCAGCAAATCTCAGCATAGATTCCAGCCATGGGCATTTTAGGGTGTTCACTATTCCAGCCTTTTGCAGCTCACAAGGTTGTAGCCCTCCCTCATATTTATCCACCTAAAACAAGAAAGAGCAAATGCAAAAGGGCAAAGAATAGAGGGAGAGGCCACTTGTCCGCCTCAGGTGGGGAGGGCCTAAGCTCTCTCCCCATTCAGGGGCTTACAGCTTATCTCTAGCACCCAAAAAGCAGCCAGACAGGAAAAGAGCCGCGGCCAGAGGAGGCGGCATTGTTTGTCTGGTTAGTGCAGTCTTGGTTCAGCATCCAATCAGCATTCCATCTCTTCACCACGTGGTTAGCACCTGCATCTGCTCTGAGGTAGGGATCAGGGTCCTAGCATCACCCAGAATCATGCCTTTTCAGCAGCAGCCTCTGCAGCCTGTTCCAAGCTGGCAGCAGGCAGAGCTCACTGAATGCTTTGTGCATGAAGAGCCATTGGCTAGGATCAGATTACGCAAGAAAAGGAGGTATGTTTAGAAATTAATCTAATGTAAAAACAAAATGAACAATAAATATATTTTAAAGATGGGAAGAGAGAAGCAAAGTTAACACCTTTTTTTGTCTCCCTTTTTGCCTTCAGAAGACAAACCGCTGCAGAGCAGAAGTGTTATGGGAGGGAGGCAGTGAGAGAAGGGAACTGTGCCCATGTTGTGCCCAGTTTGCTCCTTCCACAAGCAGGTAATAGCGGCTTGTGGCAGAAGCATATGATGAGCTGTATGTGCTTGCCCAGGTAGTGGTTAGGGGAGAAGGAAGAAGGAGGGAGGAGGGAGGGAGGAGGAAGGATGGAGAAGGGTGAGGAAAAGTCTTCTTTTAGCTCCTTTTTATAGAGGGAGGTAGCTCCTTCAATAAGCAGCTGCCTCTCCATGTTTCAGTCAACTGATGATGGGGAGGGGTAGCTCCAGACTCTGACATTCACTCTACTGCTTTGTGGGCATGCCCCCATTCCTTAGGGAGGCACCCCTCAGGTTACTTGAGATAAAGGTCCAGGCCCTATAGTCCCATCAATCAGGAGCTCCCAGATCAATTACCCTTACAAAGCCATAGCTCAGATTGCACTCCACATTCTAATCAGATTGGGCCACAGTAAAACAGAAATAATTCATCACCCTGGGAAATTGCAACCACCCTGATATTCATGCTTCAATAGTACCCTCTGTACCTCTGATTGCAAGGTTGAAGAGAAAGCAAAGCACTCCTCCCAAAGCTGCCGTTTAAAGAGGGCTCCCAGGCCAGGCATTTCTTCATTTCCCCCACCTGCACTCCTTTGGAATGGACTCTTTCATGCCCCTTTCCTAGGAAACATCTCTCCTGGATTTTCTCTCCCCCCTTCCTTTTCAGCTTCCTTCTGTCCATTGTCTCCCCCCATTAGAGTATTAGCTTCTTGAGAGTAGGGACTTTCTTCTTTCACTTTTTTATGGGGGGGGGGATTTGAGGCAATTGGGGTTAAGTGACTTGCCCAGGGTCACACAGCTAATAAGTGTCAAATGTTTGGTCTGAGGCCGGATTTGAACTCAGGTCCTCCTGACCTCAGGACTGGTGCTCTATCCACTACGACACCTAGCTGCCCTGACTTTCTTCTTTCTGTCTGTATCCCTACTGCTTAGCACAGTGCCTGGCACATAGAAGGTGCTCAATAAAAACGTATTGACTGAATGACTGGTCAGACCATATCTAGATTATGATGTTCAGTTCTCACCTTGAAAGCTTGGGAAGGGCATTGGTAAGCTGTAGAGCATTTATAAGAGGGCAATCAGGATGGTAAAGGGCCTTGAGGCCAAGTCACATGAAGGTAGATTGAACTGAGCAAGTTTAAACTGAAGAAGAGAACACTTTCCCAACTTGTCAGTCAATGAACATTTATTAAGGGCCTTCTACGAGCCAGGCACCGCTCTAAGTGTTGGAGATATAGAGAGAGGAGAAACAGTCCCTGCCTTGAAGGAACTCACAATCTATGAGGATGAGAGCATGTGAACAAGTATGTACAGACAAGCTGGAGAGAGGAAAAGCAGGAAGTAATGAAAAGAGGGAAGGCACTAGAATTAAGAGGGGCTGGGAAAGGTGTCCTGTAGAATGCGGGATTTTAGAGGAGACTTGAAGAAAGCCAGAGAAGCCATTAGGTGGAGATGAGGAAGGAGCGCATTCTAGGCATGGGGGGTCGCTGGAGAAAATGCCCAGAACCAAGAGCTGGAGAGTACTGTTTATGGAACAGCCAGGAGGCCAAAACCGCTGGCTAGGAGTAAGGTGTAAGAAGACTGGAAAGGCAGGAAGGGCTGGCTTATGAAGGGCTTTGAATGCCAAACAGGATTTTGCGTTTGCCGCTGTCGGTGATAAAGAGCTACTGGAGTCTGCTGGGTAGAGCGTTTGATATGGGCAGACCTGAGCTTTAGGAAAATCACTTTGTCAGCTGAATGGAGGATGCGTTGGAGGGGGAAAAGACATGAGGCATTAGGCTATTGCAATAGTCCAGGCATGAGGTCTACATCAGGGTGGTGGCAGTGTCAAACAGAAGGGAGTGTATTCGAGAGATGTAATTGGCAGACCTTGGCAACAACTTGAATGTGGGGGGTGAGAGATAGTGAGGAATCTGGGGTGACTTCTGGTTTTTAAACCTGAGGGACTGGGAGGATGGTGGTGTCCTCTACAGTAACAGGGAAAATAGGAGGGGGAGGGTTTAGGGGGAAAGAGAATGAGTTTGGTTTTGGGTATGAGTTTAAGACTTCCCCCTGCTTAAGAGATTTCCACCTGTTGTTCTCACCTGGTCTCCAGGCTCAGGTGAGAATAAGAGCAAGAACTTCCTTTGAAGAGAACTGCCATTTCCATTTTCTGCTCCAGGTGTTCCCTGAGGGAAAGCCGCTTAGGACCCCAGCCTGGCTGATTTTCGTCTATGTCGGCACAAGGCTACTCCCACCTTCTGTTACCAGCCGGTGCAAAGAGAAGTGACTTCCCCTTTGACCTCAGGCCTTCTGTCTCCTGCTGTACCTGCCTCCTGAGGGAGGAGGAGGAGGAGGAAAGTTGGTGGACAGCTGGACTTCCATCTCCTGCTGCACTGTCTCCTGACTCTGGAGGGAAGAGGAGTGAGTAGTGGGCCTCCCATCTGATTCTATGACCACATGCTTCCCATTTCGTGCATTACTCATGTTGGACCCAATCTTTCATCTCTTCTGAGAAGAGGAGTGTTACCTTCCACTCACTGACAAGCATTCTCACACCTGGTCATACGCTACACATCTCGGTGATTCCGAACCACTGTAGGTCATCATTCAGACTCCATTTCCCTTCACCCACCCACTGATTCCTTACTCCTATTCCTCTCAACCCTCCCACCCAAAGTCTCAACCAAGCCCCTTCCACTATGTCTCCTAGAATGCCTGTTCCATAGGCAACATACTTCCTTTTGTCCTAAATCTTGTCATCTCCCACTCCTTCCATCTTCTAACAATCAATGGAATCTGGTTCCTCACAGCCTCCTTGGCCACCCTTTCTATTACTGGCTTCACCTTCACTCAGTTCTCTTGCTCCTTGCTCCCTCCCCATTGCCACTTCAAGGTTCTCTCTCTACCTCCTCCTTTGAGCTCCATGCTATTCATATCTATTACCCCATCAAAATCCCAGTAGTTGTTATCTACTGTTGTCTACAGACACCCCCCCTCCGGTCATTTCCCTTCCTTCTTCAATGAGTTTGGTACCTAGCTCACAACTTTTCTCTCTTCCCCAACTCCTGCCCTCTTTTTCTCTCCTTCAAACACTCTAACCACTCAATTTCTCAACCTATTCACTTCTCATGACCTCCCATGACCCTCCACCTTGCCTCAGCCACACAAAAAGATGGTTATACGCTTGATCCATCCACAAATGCTTTCATCCACAAATGTACGACTGACACGTTCAAGAATCACCAAATTCCCTTATCTCGGGCATAATCTACTGACTTTCCACCTCTCTCTCTGCCCTTGCACAAAACCCTACTCTTCCTCCATACCTCAACCTCAGATCCCTTGAACCTTCAGTTCTCTCTTAGGCCATCTCTCCTGCGTTAGACACTCTCCTCTTTTCCCCAGCTTGACCCCTTAGTGAACCGGTTCAACTCTACCTTATCCTCTTCTCTTGTGTCCCTGGCTCTTGCATTATATTGCCAATTGCACATTGCCAAGACTCAGCCTTGGCCAACTGGAATTCTCTCCCTCTTTTGCCTCTTTTTGTATCTCCAGGGTTTAGCACAATGCCTGGAACACAAGTAGTGCTAATGAATGTTTATGGACTAACTGACTGATCCAGCGGGAACGTGATATCTTCAAGCGTTCGAAGAACTGACATGTGGGAGAAGGATTCAATTTAATGAGAGGGGTAGACTAAATGGCCTCTGACATTTCATCTCTAGGTCTATAGTCTAGGACTTGCTTTGTCTGGCTCCAGAGGGCAGAAACAGGATCAGTGGATGGAAGTTGCAAAGAGACAAACTGAGGCAGATTTTATAAGGAAAAACTTCCAAACAAGGAGATTACCTCCACATATAAATTACTTCTTGGAAATCACATAAGTACTTTGTTTTGCAATTTTCTTTTTCTTTTTTAATAATATTTTTTCCCCAATTATATGTAAAGACAATTTTTAACATTCATTTTTACAAAATTTTGAGTTCCAATTTTTTCTCCCTTCCCATGCCCTCTTCCTAAAATGGTAAGCAATATAGGTTATATATGTGTTTTGCAATTTTCTAATGCAATTATTATTCGTTTCTGTGTCATAGTTACATAGAAGCAGCCAGGTGATGTAGTAGATAGAGCTCTGGACCCGGAGGCAAGAAGACTGAGCCTCAGACATTTACTAGCTATGTGACCCTTGGCAAATCACTTAAACATCTGTGTGTCTCAATCTCCTTATCTGTAAAATGGAGACAATAATAGTACCTACCTCATAGGTTTCTTGTGAAGGTCCAATGAGGTCTTCGTAAAGTGTTTTGCAAATACAATATAAATGCTAGCTATTCTATGTATCTGTGTTAAAGTCATGCAGTAGGCTCTTAGCTCCTTGAGGGCAGGGTCTGGGTGTAAAATAAACTTTTTATTTCTTCTAATACTTAGCTTGATATTCTGCATACAGAGGATATTTAATAACACCTTGTTGAATCTGTTCATTAAAGAATGGATCTTCATCTTGTAAATTTATATCAGTTCCTTTAATTTTCTCAATATTGATTTGTGTCATATAGGGAGATATAAATATCTTGTAGATTTTTACAGATTTTTGTTTCTTTTTCCCCTCCTCCTTTGCCACTGAACAACTCAGAGGAGTGAATGCCCACCTGCAGGCATACATTTCTGAGGACTGCTGGAACCAGGTCTTACTTTGGACCAGCCTGCCAATTAGCAGAGACTGTTTATAGCCTTGGGTGGCTTGAATAATTATAACTCACATTTTTATAGTCCTTTAAGTCTGCAAAGCAGTTTATATAGATTATTTCAGTTGATCCTCAGGACAATTTTGTCAGGCAGGTGTTATTATGATCTCCATTTTACAGTCAAGGAAACTGAGGCTTAGTGTTGAAAAAATATCCCTGGAGGCACATAGCTAGGAAGTATATGAGGTGAGACTCAAACCCAGGTCTTCCTGAATCCTAAGTCCAGCTCTGCCTCTATCCACTAGACTAGATTGCTTGCCAGGAACCTAAGAATATTAACTCGGGGGCAGTCAGAATATTTTGCTGAGTCCTGAATAAATAGGGAGTCTTCTCTGGGGTAGAAGACAGCCCTCATGGGTGTTAGAGGGTAGATGGCTTCCAGACCTTTGCTTGTCACATCAGAAACAGGAATCTGTTCAAGGACTCTTTTTTTTCTGTGTCGAGAGAGAAGGGGAGCCCCTGTTCCCAGGCAAACTATTTTCAATTTTGCATCCAAGAGGCAGAGGGGAGGAGTAACGAAAGGACTTACTCTCAGGAAGAGGAATCTCTTGGTCTCAGACCACATCACTGGAGAGATGACTATGTCTCCTGCCAGGCTTGAGCGATGACTCCTAATGACACAGAAAAGTGTTACCCCAGCAGAGAAGGCTTTCTGGCTTCTACTGATCAGAAGACTGCTGTGTAGATTGGGTGAGACAGGGAGCTCCACGTGGGGCTACTTCCTGGGAGTAGGGAACTGTAGCTGCCCAAACCTAGTGGACAGCAATGTCTGGAGACACTTCTTGGGAGCAATGGGGCACTGTAAGAAATCGAGGAGCTCCTGGGCAGCAAATGACAGGAGGCTGACCACAAGAAATCAGCATGGTGAAACCATTTATGGGCATTTATAGAAGAAGGATCTGCATCTGCACATCTACCAGTGAATGGGAATCTCCGTGCATCACTGGGAGAGGGCTATTTCATCATCTGGGCAGTCTTCCCCAGTGACAAGGAATTGAGCTCAGTCATAAAGGATCTGGTATGCAGAAAGCACTCCCACTGAATCTTCCGGACACATCATCATTGCTCATATCCTGTCTTAAATGGCTTCTTTTTCTGGGCTGGCCAGACTCTCAACCATGTGAGTTCCTGATAACCTTTCCTAGGGGCACCAGCTAGGGTAACATACAGACCCCAAGGGATGGGGGTAGGTGGGAGATCACCCCCAGACCACCAGAGCCAAGCCTCTGTAAGCTTCTTGGAGCCAATCTCTTCCCCGTTCATATGTGACACTGTACCCTTACCAGGATAGACTGGTCTGACCAGGGTAGGCCAGCATGAAAGGCAGGGCAAATCTGACTTCAGCCCCTGTTCCTTCCCTACTAGGATTCATCTCTGAATTAGGAACCCGACTGAGTTTCTCTACCCGGCGTGCTCATTGCTAGTAGGTTGCTCATTGGAGGGTTTTTGCATTGTCACAAGATCATAGATTTTAGAGATGGAAAGGAACTTGGAAACCATCTGGCCCAACCTCCTCATTTGACAGATGATGAAGTGAGGTTCAGAGTGGTGAACTCTGCCCAAAATCACATAAATAGTAAGTGGCAGAAGTAGAGTTGATACTATCAAGAAAAAAAAAAGTCTTTCTATAACTATGAGTCTGTATTTTCTGTTTCTAAATAAAGCTTCCACTGATCTTTAAAGAAAAGAAGTAGGCCTTGAATCCAATTTTTTCCTGGCTCAAAACCAAAGTTGTTTTCCACTTTCTCATGCTGCTTCCCAAGTATTCTATTTTGTTTGTAATGGTTCTTTTTTGTTTTCTTAATTGTTTGTGTAACATTGACCTTTCATATTGTTTAATAGGGGCAACCCCTATGGAGTGCGGGTTCAGGCTCAAGGGAGATGGACTCATGCCCATTGGTTCCCATGATGAGGCTGGGGCTGGATATGATAGAGCTGGACATGTGCTCAGTCCATTTATAGGAGCACAAGTCTGAACTAAAGATGCCCAAGGGATCTGGTCCATACCTGGGTGCCAATCCAGCCTTCACCATCTCACTCCACAACTGTCCAAAATGACTGACAGCAGAGTAGGGAGAGCTGCTCCTTCAGCAGGCTAATAAAGAGAAGTGGGTCCAGTACATCTCTCTCCTTTCTGGTCGGTTGAGTGTGTTAGGACTCAGGAAGCTCTTCCTTTAAACTTCTAGCAAGTGGGAAGGGCAGTATCTTCTCCCCCTCCCCCCAACTAGGAAGATGAGCACATGACAGCAATGAATATACGCTTGTCCAGGTAAACCTAGGACCGGACCTCAAGGCACAGGCTGCCTCACCTGTTTGTGTTTTCTTTTCCTGAGCACAGGTGATTGAGCAGAGATTCTGAGAGATGGACCTTTCCAGCCTGGAGTTCTGGGTTTTTCAATCAGTGCCAGCTGCCCCTGTTGGGAGGTGCTCCCTGCAGCCAGCTGAGATTTGTAACCATGAAACATTGCCAAGAGGACAAGAGATGAGTCTTTGTGCTGAGGGGTGGCTTGGGGTCTTGAAAGGCACAGAACAGTTTCCCAAATGCAATCCAACCCACCATCTTCTTCCTGTTAAATTCTGGTCCTAATTCAGTGTCCATCAGCAATGTCTGCCCCAAGTACAGGTATTAATGTACTAACTCAACGGACCAGGCCCTCCAGCTAGATGTTGCAGCCTGAACTGAATTTATTGATTTCATTTTTTTCCGTAGGGATTGCTAAGTTGACCTCTTTTGAGTCAGTCAGTCAACAAACATTTATTAAACTCCTTCTACAGTATCAATGAGTCTTTCTTTCATGAGGATTAATGAATGTTCAGGGCCCTAATATAGTTAGTCTAATATCACCTGATAATAGAAGCATCCAGAATATCTCACTCCACTGTGGACCTCTTCTATTTGGATCGTGCACCAGACGTCCTCCATGACAGGGGCAAACCCCTTTTCTATGTATTGGGTTGTTCCTTGCTTGAAATGAATAATCAGAGATTCATTCAACGAAATGACCTCTGTGGTTACGTCCATCAAGGAATCTTAAATGATCTTAATATACCCTTTGGAGACTCTTTGTTAACTGTGTGACCCTGGGTAAGTCACTTAATCTCTATTGCTTCCAAACAAAACAAAACAAAACAAGATATTATGTTTTGTTCTACAGTCTTTTTTTTTTTGTAATCAACAAAAATAGTCATACTCGGGCTGCAAGCATTTGTTAAGCAATTAGCATTTGCCAGGCACCGTGCTAAATGTTAGGGATACAAAGACAGGCAGAAACACTGTCCTTGTTCTCAGGGAGCTCACGTATAGTTGGGGAAACAGCATGTAAACAACTATGTTCATATAGGATGTAGAGAATGGATGAATGCTAATCTCAGAGGGAAAGCACTAACTAGCAGTGATGGATGGAAGAAGGGAGGAAGGGAACTGGGTAAATCTCCCATCTTGCAAAATGTAGGATTTGAGCTGGGTCTTGAAGAAGCTAAGATGTGGAGAAGGGAGGATAGAGAGAATTCCAGGCAAGGGCAACAGCCCACAAAAAGCCATGGAATCAGCAGATAAGAGAATCATGTGTCAGAATAGCAAATATGCCAGTGTGGACTAATTATAGAGGGTGTGGAAGGGACCATAGTGTAAGAAGACTGAACAAGTTACAAGGGGCCAAGTCATGGATGGCTTTAAATACAGAAGATTATATACTTGCTCCTGGAGGTAATAGGGAGCCACAGGAATATAGGAACAGGTGAGCTGACATGGTCAATCCTATGCTTCTAGAAAATCATTTTGGAAGCTTTATGGAGGATGGATTGGAGTGAGGAGAGGCTTGAGGCAGTGAGACCAGTTGGAAAGCTACTGCAATGGTCTGGCAGAGAGGTCATGAGGGCCTATTGGGGTGGTGGCTGTGGTGGAGGGAAGGGGAGCATATGAAAGGTAGAAATGACAAGATTTGACAACAGATTGGATACGTGGGGTAAGTGCAAGTGAGGAGTTGATGATGACTCTGAATTTGTCAACACTGGGTGGTGGAGATGTTGGTGATGTCTTGGATAATAATAGGAAAAGAAGAAGATTAGGGAAGAGTTTGGGGGTCAAGACAATGAATTCTGTTTTGGACGTATTCAGTTTGAGATGCTTAGGGGAAACCCAGTTCAAGATATCTAAAAAGCAGTTGGTAATATGGGAAT